CTCAGGAAGGAGGGGTCCTGGCCCCCGCCCGCCCGTCCGCCCGCCACAGCGCAATGTACCCTGCAGGCCTGACGCCCCGCGGAGGACACCGGGCACAGCCCGGCCGTGAACCAGGTCACTGGTTCGATTCCCGATGGGGCACAGCCTGGGTTGTGGGCTCATCCCCAGCAGGGGGCGTGCAGGAGGCAGCCTACTGATGTTTTTCTTTTCTTTCTTTTTTTTAAAAAATATGTTTCCATTGATTTTTAGAGAGAAGGGAGAAGGAGAGAGAGAGACAGAAACATGGATGAGAGAGAAACGGCTGCCTCCTGCATGTCCCCACTGGGGATCAAGCCCACAACCTGGGCACTTGCCCTGACGGGGAAATGAACCATGACCCCTTGGTGCATGGGACAATGCTCAACCAACTGAGCCAAACTGGCTGGGCTCTACCATTTTTATTTTAGTACTAGAGGCCCAATGCATGAAATTCATGCAAGGGTCTCAACCCTCGCAGCCCCTTGCAGCTTCAGCTGGCCCTTGCGGCGGGAGTCTCACCGCCTCAGGAAGGAGGGGTCCTGGCCCCCGCCCGCCCGTCCGCCCGCCACAGCGCAATGTACCCTGCAGGCCTGACGCCCCGCGGAGGACACCGGGCACAGCCCGGCCGTGAACCAGGTCACTGGTTCGATTCCCGATGGGGCACAGCCTGGGTTGTGGGCTCATCCCCAGCAGGGGGCGTGCAGGACGCAGCCTACTGATGTTTTTCTTTTCTTTCTTTTTTTAAAAAATACGTTTCCATTGATTTTTAGAGAGAGGAAGGGAGAAGGATAGAGAGATGAAAAATGATGAGAGAAGCATCATCGATAGTCAGCCTGTCCTCAGAGGAGGCACCATGGCCAGCACTAACCACGCCCCCCAACCCTGCAGCCTGGGCGCCTTGGGGGCCACTGAGGAGCCGCGGGGAGGGAGCCCCTGGGGCCCCTGAAGGCCCTGGAGCGGGTGAGGAGGTTGGGCCTGAGGCCACTTGTCCCTGCCCCGAGCCTGTTTCCGTCAGATTTGTTCACAAGGAAAAACAGGAAAGGGGGGGGCGGTGAGCAGCTGGGGGTGTTGTGGCCGACGGTACTTCCCACTGGGCGGGGCCTGGTCACAGAGCCATAGCAGGACCCTGCAGGGGCCCCGCACAGCCCTCTCCCCACCCCAGCCCTCCAGGCGCCAGACCCTCCAGGGCACTGACCCCTCTGGCCAACGAGGACTGGACCCCAGGTCCTCATCTCCCGTGGGCACTTCCGCCAGGAGCAGCCCGACCCCCTCCTCCTGCCCGGCCGAGGGGCCCTGGGCGGGGCAGGCCTCACTCCTGTGCAGGAGCCACGCATGGGAGGGTGGAGGGTGCTGGGTGCTGGGGGACAGGGCCAGCACCATGACTGCGCCCACAGGTGGCTCCCCACACGCACCACCTACCCAGGAGGGGTTTCCCTGGCAGAAACCCCTGACACTGAGGACAGGCGGAGCGGGGCTCAGACCAGGGGGACCCCTGGATCCCTCCCGCTCCGGCCGCTGTGCCCCACCCACTCTGCAGGGCTGGGCCGCCCCTTCTATCAGCTGGGGCCGGAGCATGGGAGGGGGGGTGGGCTCAGGCCCCTGGCTCCCCATGGCCCTGGCGGGCACAGGGCGTCTGGCAGACACGAACCCACATGGTCCAAGGCTCCCACAGTCTCCCCGGAGCGGAGCAGCTAAGGGTGGCCATGT